TAAAGAGTTACAGTAGTCCAGCCTGGAGGTAACAAATGCATGGACCAGTTTAAGTTATTGCTTGGCTTCATCCTTATTCTCAGTCACTGACACTGACCTCTTGCCATTGTTCCATCTTTCTAGCCATCTTTCTCATTCTCACCTCATTCATGTGTTCTCGTATTGTGAAATGATGCAAAGCAACAGAATGAATATTATTCCAAGAAAATAAAATATTTGAATGTAACCCCTTTGTAATCACCATCATTTTAATTAGTAACTGTAATTTAATTACATATTTTTTCTCAGCAACTGTAAGTGATTACAATTACATTTATTTTGTAATTTAATTACTGTAACTAGTTACTCCACAACACTGTCAACCAACTAAACCTGTCTGATGAGTTAACACCAAAGTTTTTAATTAGCAAGCTGAACCACAGCTGTTTTGACAATCAGTAGTTTAAAAAAGAAATGGAACAATAACTCTCTATGAATCAAATAGTTTAAATAAATAAATTTTAAACAAATGCTCAGTTGATTGGAAAACACCCTGAGGTAGAATAAAAACAATTGTACATGATGATGTGATGACTACAGAAACACTTCATTAAACAGGAATGAAAAAGGAAGGAAAAGTCAATATAAATATTTTTTTAAAATACAGTTTTCGTCAAGCTGCAGTTTTGTGGAAATCTGCCTGTGAATAATTTTGTTAAGGAGTTACATTTGGCAAAGAAATGTGGGATTGTACATTACTCAACATGAAATACATCCCAAAATTCCCACCAAAGGCAACTATAGGTGGAGATAAACAGTCTGTGTGCTCCTGCAAACTGCAGTCAGTTTCTAGGTCACATCTGGTGCAACACCATAAACACAGTGAACACAGTACAGGCTATTTTTATTTTAGAATTTTAAAAACAATTAACCATTTATAAAGTTACATGCAAATAAATGGTATTATGGTAAATAGGCATTTGTTTCCCATTTACAACTGACTTTCATCACAGGGTTTTTAAACCACAACCACAGTCTTCCCCTAACCTTAACCAAGTGCTTGTAACCATGACAACAAAGGTCTCCTAAACCGTATCCAAATTTTTAACTCTGGGATTGTCGAGTCGTTAGACCAAATGATTCCTTACAGTCCCTTAGTTCACTGCAACAATAATGCATTGCCATCATTAATACAAAGTGAAATCTCATATAGGGTGGATATGGGAGGAAATTGTTACTTTAAATGTAAGATGTTTGAAATCACATGGAAGTTTAAAGAATGATCTCAGTATGCGTTACTGTGAGCAGTGATAATGAAGAGGGATCTAAGTGGAATGAGTAGAGGGTAAGAAAATGTAGGTGGATTGGTTCACCCCTGACATTCTGGTTCTAACTTTTCTAAGTAACAGCTGCTTGTGGTTTACTGAAGAAACAATTAATAAAATTCACTGAAAATTGTTGGCTTTGGTAGCAGAAGATGCATTATGTTTAACTGGCTGTCATGATGGATTTGGCTGATTCGGAGGTATGAAGTTCGATCCTCATGCATCAAGCAGTGTAAGATACGGCTGACACACGGCTGTACCTGTGCATTGTGTGTGTTGCAAACAAGAAAACACGCCCAACTCAGTTTGCCTGCGTTTTTGTGTGTGTGTGTGTGTGTGTGTGTGTGTGTGTGTGTGTGTGTGTGTGTGTGTGTGTGAAATAGTGTGCTATGTTTGTAATACGATATGGCAAATTAACTGATGTTATCTGAATGTATGGTCTTGTGAGGAAAGATAACATAAAGGAAGGCTTTGTGGGAATGTAGAAATCAAATTTCTTCAGTTTTTGATGAACTACATAACCAACTATTAATGCAGTGGAAATAACGTGCTCATTATAAGTCTTTAAACAGTGTAACATGTGATTCTTGTTAAAACCATCTAAGAAATAGATCATTTTAAGACCAGGTTGACCCGGCTGCTTCCATGGCAGCACAACTTTGCATTACCCTTTGTGGTTATTCCCAACAGGTCTCTGTGGTTTTTTAATGACAAATCATAGATCCTTATTTTTTCACTAAATGTTTTTACAACTTGTGGCTGGTCACTGCTGATTGACAGTTAGTGAAGTGTTTCCAAAACAGCATAGCCATGTTGACACTGAGACCTTTATCCCGAGACTTGCATTTGCTCAGATCCTCGGCCAAGTCCATGGGCAAAGAGGATAAGACTCAGTCAGAGGTTTCTAAAAAAAAAAGAAAAAGTCCTGCTTGCTGAAAGCTATGTATTAAAATTGAAGTGAATCAAAATACCACTGCTGGATGGACTTTTGTTTCTGCTCCTGAAGGCTAATTCCTAATGCAAGAAAAGCCTGACTTGATTATAACTCTACATTATCAGGCTGAAGGAACACTCTCACCAATCATTCCATCATGTACCACAAATATTTTTCTTCACCTTCCTCAGTGATGAACAAGAATCTTGTATTGTAGGAGTCATTTCAAGGATCAGATCCAGGACTGGAAGAACTGTGGAACAGCAAACATACAGTGACATCATACTCTTAAAGCTAATGGCCATTATTCAAAAGCATATGGCTGCCAGCCACATGTGCAGTCCATCTCTCCCGTACAACACCCCCACCCCCTCCCCCAAGTTCCCCTGTGGAATTTTGTGATAAAAAAAAAAAAGTTTTACTGTTTAATTTTATGGTTATCCCCTTTTTCTTATGAAATGTGATGACTGTTTTTCAGTCATAGTCACACACTGCAAGCATCACTAGCAAGAGGCAAACAGCCTGCGGTTCTGGGTGGTTAACAGTCAGAAGATTAATATGAATTATCTGCCAATTTGACTGCAATCCCAGAATTCCAGAGGAACCCGGTCTCTATTAGAGTTTGCAGACTCATCCCTCATTTTGAAGTCTGCAGACAAGCCAGAGACTTTAATGGTTTGATGTGAAGCTCAGGGTCACTGAAAGAGCCAAGAACACTTCTGCATTTAAATGATTGTGTAAATGTATGCAGTCATACATTCTGTAGGCATGCCATTGTGTCAAAGAAGATGAATTTCTTGTTTGTAACTACAGGAAATCATTTCAGCGTTATATTCTAAATGTGAATTGTCTGATTTGTCTTTGTATGACTGAACATGTTATGCCTGAATTAACTGCCCACAAAATTACTCTTAAGTTGCTGGCTACTGATGGTGCACTATAAAACAGAAAACGCATCTTTACCAATAAATACAAAGGATGTTTTTATAGCATTTGGGAGGGATGGAAGCCAGCTTTGAAGGCACATACATGAATTTAAAACAGAGAAGTGCCTCACTTTATAAGACCTCAAGCCTCAGCCATGTTTCCGAGACTTATGAAAGAAAACATTCAGACCTGGTGAAGAAGAAAGCCATGTTACAACGGCTTATTTGATGCCAAATATTTTCACCATAAGGCTTAATAACACTTTATTGTTTCATCCTGTTAATGTGAGGATGTGGAGATGCATCTTAAGAATCACACTTATTTATTCCTGGTGGCCCTAATCCTCTTCTGTAAGTATATGATGAAACAAATATTTACAATATTTACTGAATGAGTACTGTTTACCTGGACGTTAGACCAAATGTACGAACAAATAGTGCTAACATTGTACCTATACTGATTTGATGTCCCTTGCACACAGTCCACCTGTCAAAGAAGACAACATCTTTATTTTTTATCTACTACGCCTTTAATGTCCAGAGTTGACATGAGAAATACAGGAAACAGTGATAGGAACATAAAATAAATTTAGTGTGAGCTGAAATTATGTGCTGTGAACTAACACTGTTCACTATATCATGTAGTTGCTTTGATTCTATTTAACACATCATTCATCTCATGCTCAACAACCGAGTCAGGCAACAAATGGAAATGGACAGTAGTGGAATGATAAGATGAGTAACCATCGGAAAACATATTGCAAAGCAACAACAATGTTCTTTCCACCCCAGTGGAGTTTTCTTGTGAGACTCTCTGGGGTTTTGGTCACTTTTTAGAATATTTAATGAAGCCAAGCAAAAACTGGAAACGCTAGAGATAAGCTGTGTTATTTAAAGCAATACACTAGAGGGTTAACCAGATATGTTATTTGGAACTACCAGCACATGCAAACAGACAATGGCTTTATGGTAATGAGTTAAAAATTGCTGGTGCTTACATGGAAAAGGTTCTCAGTGGCTTCAGAGCCAGAAGATGGGATGTGACTGAACCCATTCTCATTGTTTCCCATTGCTCGTTTTAGGTCAAAGGTCAAAGTGTTTATTTGTCATATGCACAGTTAGGAAACATGTTTCCCTGTATGAAATTCTTACTTTGCCGTCCACATGAATGCCACATAATACAAGTGAAATATAAAGTAGATGAGCAATAACACAAATCTAAATAGGCAGTAAAATCACAAATCTAAGGCACTTTAAAGCAGCAAGTGAACACAATATAATGCAGATAAAATATATGCTACATGGGAGCTGTGGAGTGTAAATACTCAGCAGTGAGTGTACAATTATGCATGTGCAAAATGAGTATGTAAACAGTACAGATGGAATTACATGAGGTAGATCCTGAGTCAGCTGTTTATGAGTCTGATGGCAGGGACCTGCTGTGGACTTAATTATGAATTAAGTTTAAACTTGATGAGGGCTGCAGCTGATGATTACTTTCATTATGAGGTAATCTGATGATTCTCAATTTTTTATGAAATTGGTTAAAAGTGAAAAATGCTGGTGATGGTTTTCTCAAGCTCAAGGTGTCATGATATGGCTTGTTTTATAAGCAACAATCTAAAATCTAAATATACTTGGTTTAAGAGAAGGAAAAGCAGCAAAGCTTCACAGTTTGGAAGCTGATCTGTCAAATGTTTGACATTTCTGCTTGACAAATGATATGAAAGATTAAGTGATTTTTTTTTTTTTTAAATATAGCTGTAGAATCATTTTCTGACCAGCAGCATATCGAGTGACTAATTGTTGCAGATCTAATTTTGAGCATATTCTGATATGAGTGTGGCCACCCCAGCATTTCTGACCTATACGGACAGCAACACTGCTCGATTCTCCTCTCAGGCCATGCACAGGTATTGTGTGTTGGCCTCATTCATTGAATGATGAGTGAATGAATTGTTTGTTTCTGTGTCATACCAAAATTTTCTACCATATGTCAGTTACATATCAATTCAGTAACAGCTTTCAGCAATTGGCATGTTCCGAAGAAAAATGTTAGCTGCAAATCACATATTGTACATACAGTATATGACTAAAATACTTGATGTATTGGTTTCCAAAAATGACGCAGGCCTTCCTTTGTATGACATATTCCAGACGCATACTGAAAAGCTGGCCAAAGCTTACCAGCCACTGCGCTCTGCCCTGTGCACCAAAAGTAAAACCTCTGTTGCCCACCTCCTTGCTGTTCGACAAGACTTATCCAAGATCCTACGCACAAGCAGCGGCAAGATGAGAGAGAAGACTGCTTGTGCTATCAATAAGGTTGGCTAAACACCGTGTAGTCAAATCCTTCTTTTGTTTCAGGATATTCATAGTGTTTTAATGTTAATGTTTCTTTGTTTATAAGGGGTGTGCAAAAGTCAGAGTTCTAATGATGTATCTAAACAAATGTGCGGGGATTTGGTCTGTGGCAACACTTAGAGGTTAGAGCAGATTTTTAAACTAAAGACATTTATTTCTGTGACAGGGAGGCATTTGTGCCTCCACTCACATAGGTTTGGCATTATTTAATATTTTTATTTAAACAAATTTTGTTAAAAGACCAAAATTAAATGTCTGAGTATGTTTTAATGGTTGGGCATTGTGAGACAGACTCAGCTGGCTCTCAACTGCAAGCTCACTATTTCCTACTGAAGACAAAAGTATTGAAACTTTAATCATAAATATACTTTATATTTTGGAAACAAATAAAATTGGCTTATTTGAAAAATGCTTAGTTTTCAGAAACTGATTATTGGCATAAGTTACTGACAGGAAATATTAGGACTGTCAGGACAAATTAAACTATTTCTATAGCACTGTACAAAACATGGTTACAAAGTGCTTCACAACAGCAAAAGAACATAGACGTTTGCATGTTTAAAACACAAGCAAACGTGTGCATACATAAAGCCCCATGTTATCAGTATTGGTGTACACCGATCAGCCATAACATTATGACCACCTGCCTAACGCTGTTTACATCAGAGTCAGTGAGGCAGTTGGTTGGCACTGGTGTCGCTCTGCTCCTCACTGTGCATCTTGTGTAAATGTACAAACCTACAAAACTGTACTTACAGCTACAAACAGTTTCTAAGCACAGTGGTCACAATGTTATGGCTGATCAGTGTAGAGTGTGGTGATAAAAACAAATGTAAATTAACTCTGTTACAATGAACTCTCTTTATAGACTTGGCATGACCTTTAACTCATGCAGTATGTCTAAAATATCCAGTAGGTTCTCCTGTTAAAAGGTCATCTCCTCAGAATATACCTTTAACTTAATATACTCCTACCATTAAGATGTAAATCTAGATGTCTGGCTCTGTAATCTAGTCCTAATGCCTTTCTAAGAAACACATAGCATGAGGTGTGATAGATGGTTGAGCATCATCTTTCCAAATATATAAATACCAGCTAACCTCAAGCTTATTAATGTAAAATATGTGTTGTGCTTTAGGTGCCCATCAAAAAATGTAAGTACAGACAGAATATGTATAAGCTACCCCATGTACCTTCGCCAGAGCAAGCCCAAATTCCAGCTCCTCCACTGCAGTGTTTTTCATAGTGTAAATGCTTCATTAAGTGGTAAAGTCAGTTCTTCTGTGGATTTTCTTAGAATCGTTTCTTCTCATTAACATCATTGAGAGTGGTTAAAGAGAATCAATGTTCCCTGTCTCTTCCCGTGTGTGTGTGTGTGTGTGTGTGTGTGTGTGTGTTGTTTGGACTTAGTCATAGTTCCGAAAAATGACTTGCACAGTCAAAGTTAAGCCCAGTTAATCATGATTGTTGGCATCCTTATCATGTTGATTCATCATTTCCTTTGTAGATACACAATAAAGTCCCTTTGTTGTTATGTAAGTAACCTTTGAAGTTGTCATAAAATAGTATTTTATTCACAACATGTATATTATTATTATTATTATTATTATTATTATTGACCTGTCATTTATTCAAATAACAATAATCTTTCAGGCCAAATCTGATGCGGGCATAAAAGAAACATTTTTAACTGTCATCTTTTCCTTTTTGCAAACAGGATCTCATTGTTTTACAAAATTAAATAGATTTCATCATGCAGTAGAGCATTTCACATGTCTCCAGGATCAACAGCTGTGTCTGAAATTATAGCAGTATATTTGGAAGCATGTGTATGCTGCAGCTTAATTATCTCCCAATCACATTTCATTTCTTCACTGCTTAAATCCTCGGCAGCAGGCCTCTCTCTCTGTTGGCGGAAATATTTCAGGCATTTGTCGCAGTTTAATTCAGCAGCGACAACAATGGGTTGGGT